AGTCGTCCGGACTTTCGTATCGGAAGATTGCCGGCACGGCAAAGGGCCCCCACTCCCATGCTGAACTATCGGGGAGCGGCTTCTCGCACACGCGGCGCGACCGCTGAAAGGGGGCCTCGCAAGTGTGACTGACCGTGCTCGCGAGGCTAAGACGCCGGTTGTTGGTCGTCCCGGGCCAGTCGACGTTGGGCGCCAGAGTGGTGTACTCGGGCATCTCGCACAGCATTACGTCGAGCGCCTCTCCCGTCTGCGGGTGCGTCAGCACGGCGCGCGTCTGGAGCTCAAAGCGGAAGGTTTCTTGCTCGAACGGGTACGAAGATATGTTTGGTCGGAAGTGAAAGCGGGACTGGACTCGGAACCGCCCGTTCCCAAGCCACTCGGTTGTTCGGAGCCGCTCTGAATTTGGCAAAGTGAGACCGCGGTCAGGAGAGAGGAGCTGCGCATCGGTCGGGACCCAACCTCTCCAATGGGGCATGTGCCCACAAACGCGCATGGATGGGTCGGACCACGCGGAAGGCGGGTGCACCACCACAGCGCCCAAAGAGTCAAGCTCCACCTGCACAGGGACGGTCGATACTCGGAGGCAGCAGGCACGAGCGTGAGTGTCGCCAGGGAGGCAGCGCGCACATGTGCTTCCACGTTGAGGTCCAACGGGACGAAGCCCTCCTGCAGGGACTTTCCACCTGTGCCGCCAGGGGCGGGGCGGCACGCGGCTCAGCAGTCAGCACCACCATTCGGCATTGCCCAAGGCCGCCTCTCCCAGCCTCCCCTCCGCCTCTCCCCCGCCCCCCTCTCTCTCCAGCAGGTGGTCGTCGTCAGGGAGGGGCGCGAGAGGCTGCTGCTGCGCAGGGATGGTGGAGGGAGCTGCAGACCGACGTGTGTAACCACCGCGCCGATGCCAATCCTGGCCACGTGAGTTGCATTGACTGCGGCGGGGCGAGCCGATGCGGCCGTCGCAAGAGCCACTAGCAGCAGCTCCGCGGGCTGGAACTTGGTGCTCGCAGTGCGGCGGCGGCGGCCCACGCGCGTCGACATATATATGTGTGTGTGTGTGAGCCTCGCTGATGCAACCAAGTCCAACGCAGTATTTTCAGAGAATCGACAAAGGCGGCGTGAACAAAACAATGCAGCACTTCGTGCGGCTACTAATCGCACTCCAAGTGCTCCAAGTGTTGTGTTCGCTAGCGTAGAGTGGCAGCAGCGCCCCCCGCCGCGCTCCCTTGACCCTTCGCTTCTTCGGCTCCTTTTTTCGCGGGCTCCACCCTCCCAGCGCACTGAGAGCTTCTGGGGCAAAATCTGAGACGCGGAGCCGGAGGAGCGCGCTTGCGCGGTGCGTGACCGGGATGGCCGACGCGGCTGTCAGGGCGGTCCGAGCTGCTGCGCGGACCTCGGCCACCGCACACACCGACAAGCCCGGGTCCGCGCTCGGAATCGGGTAGAATCCTAGACCTCTCCCCACCAAGACCAGCCGTCCTCTTGGCTTGACTACCGGCACCGGGTAAGGCGCCCGCGCGAAAAGAACGCCCACGCCACGCCCGCTCGACCCCGTCGCCATCGCCCATCGCCCCGTCGCCTACACACGCGCTAGATGCAGCGGCGCTCGCCCGTGTTTTGGCGCGGAGAGGGGCGGAGAGGGCGCACACCCGCCAGCCCTTTGCCCCTCTCGAATCCTGGGCCCGCGCTCGTCCCGCTCTCTCCGCGCCTCCTTCCGCCCGCGCCTCCTTCCGCCGCGCCTTCTTCCGCCGCGCCTTCTCTCGGTGCGGCTAGCGGCGGTCGTCGTACCCCCCGCGGTCGCGATCGTCGTAGTCGCGGCGGCGGTCGTCGTAGTCATCGCGGCGCCTGACCAAGGGTGGGAGGAAGGGGGGGGGGGGGGGTTGGG